ACTTGCAGATAGCTGAGTTTGCAGGGCTGGCTGTTAGAAAAAACACATTTCACATGTAAACTGAACAAGCTTGATACAGAAACCTTAAAATAATAAACATAGTAGCCCACAATGTAATTTTTGTAGTCTCTTTCCAGAAGTAAGATTCACAAATGAAAAGTAGACTGTCTATTGCAGGGGACACTTAATGAGGTTTTGCTCTATTTAAAAAACCGAGATGACAAGCCCCTGAATTTTAGTACACAGGTCAATCAAAACCAGGTGCTCTATGTACAGTAACTGTAACTGTAGCTGTAACAGAAATTCAGAAAATAAGGGAATCTTTTTAAAAGCAGGTTGCAGGAAGTTAAAAGTTCTACTTTCTCTGCACTGTCTGGAAAATATATCTCCAGGGGTTTGCGGGGAGGGTTGGGGTGTGTGTCTCTCTTTCTGGTTTCCATTTCTTTAATGTTTATTACAATGTATCTTATCAAATGTTTTGCAATACAGTGTTTCTTCTCTTTCCCAGAATGACCATTCTCCCTCCAGTAGAGAAGCTGAAGATTGTGCTGGAGAAAGTGAAAGACTTCCATATACAGTTTCTCGAAGAATATGCGTGAAAGAGATGCAGACTCTCTTTCCCCCCCAAAAGAAAATGCAGAACATGAACAATATGTGCTGAGAATGGGCTGTTCATCTAGTTAACTGCATTTACAATAGATAGAGCCCATATGTGGCTAAAACTTACACTTCTTCCTGAACAATTAAACCTAATGTCTGGTGTGGGAGATATTGCTATACAGAGGTGTGTGGGAGGGGGAACATGAAGAGGGAAGGTGAAGAGAGAGTCTTAGTAGACTATTTTGTGCCTTGATAGGAAGTTATATTCTTGACTTACACTTCTGGCCTAGTTGGTTGTGGAGGAAGTCACTTATGAAAACTATTGATGATATCACCTTCTACAAAGCAGAAATGCAGATACTCAACATATTTGCTCAGAAACATCCATTTCCCGTTTGAGATTTTACCCCAAAAAATCCTAAAATCTACATTCTGGGTGTGGTTGGTTTGTTATTGTTTTTGAGTATAAAGTGTTACCCACATCTGATCAAACTGGCAGTTGTTAGAATGTTCATAAAAATCTTTGGCAGATCATTTTGTGTGACTAAGTTCTATTGCATCTGAACTTTACATTATTTCTAAATAAAATCTGAGTGGAGCACAGGCAGTTCTGAGGGCAGAAATAGTGCATACGATATATTGTGTTTTGAGTCTTAGTTTAAGAAATTGAAACTCAATGAATTATGACCACGAACTAGTTTATCCACACATAATTCAAGCTAGAGTAGACAAGTATGAGAGAACAATAGCATTGAGCTTTTCATCTCATAACCACTTTGTTAAAAAAATAAAAAAGCTGGAGTCTCCTGTTCACATATGCCATTTGTGTATATTGACTATTACAAGCAACCAACTTCAAAGCAAATGTGAACATCGTTAAGCCTTAATAATAAGGTCCAACACAAAAACTGTTAAAATTGCAGCACCTCTTGATCCTCTGAGGAATGATTCTTTGGAACTGGATGATTAGGAGATTAGTTTTGGGAGAAAGAGTCCTTCACTTTTCTGGTTACTGGTTTGAATCTAGCCCAACTCTAAAGACTGAAAGATGCTTCCATCAGACAAATATTTGTATGCAGCTTAAAGGAAATTAATTGGTGATTTCAGTCTTGTTTCTAGTGAAAATGTCTGGATCACACAAACTACTGTGTATGCCATCCTCAGCAGGGAGGGTAAAGGCTGAATGGACATGGAGGGTTGGACACTCTGTACTTGAGAGGGTTCTTCCAGAACAGGATGAGGTATGGTGGCACAACATTATGTACATGTTTGTACCACCTGTGCCATTCTTATTTTGTGGAGGAACAAAAAAGTTAGTCTTTAGGTAGGCTGTCAGTTTGGCACTTTTTGCCAGCACAAACACAGAATTGAAAACTCCCACTACCAATCACGGAGGTACTAAGTAACTTCAAGTTTTGTCTGAGTAGTTTGTGCAGATCACTGTTTAGCGACAGCATCTTATTTATCCAAATCATTAATTTAGATCTCATTCTTTAGGAGTAAATTAGAAATCTTGTTTACTAACATCATTTTGTTAGTAATACCTGGCTCAGCATGTGGTGGTAATAAGGAAGTTAAAATCTTGGGAGTTGAATTAAGTACAGGGACAAGTGAATTAACACATTGGATAAAAGGATGCGTCAGTCTAGTGTGTTAAGGATAATGATGATTATTGGCCATATCTCTTACAACAGCATCAACTGGCCTATAGAATAGTACTGGAACAGACTGCACTTAGAAACTATGAAAATATCAGAAGCATGCCCTATATGGAATGAATCAGTGGCTTCCTTTCAACTCCTAGTGGACAAATATCCAAAACGCAACCTCAGTTGAAAATGGTACATTGGGGAGCAGTGTTGTCATAGACGCCTGGAGCTTGAACTAAACTTTTAAGTTTGGAGACATGGGTCTCATCACATCAGTTGTATCTCTGGGAAGGCTGGGAAAGCTTGTGTTGCTGCTACCCATGGATAAACAGAACGCTTCATTTGCCAGCTCTGTGGCATCTTTCATAAGCACTAATATAACTCTATACAGAAATGTAAAAGTAAAAACATGTAATAAGAGGTCAAAACATTCACATTTAAAGACAAAATAAAAATTATCCAAGAAATTAAATTTTTTCTTGCTGTTGAAATTAGCGCCCAAGTCAAATCTGGTTTGGGGCTGACTGCTTGGAAGTGGCTGCCATAACCAACATGTAGTCTGAAAATTCTACAATCTAATAATGGAAGTTAGTATATTTTTTTACACTTTTGTAACAGCAGCTTTTTTTCATGGCGTAGTATTTGTAGTCTAACAAACCAATAGATTTTATATTTACCTTGTGTTTACACCTGATATTCCTGAAAACAATCCAAGGTTTACAACATACTAGAGACATTCTATATGGGTGTTGAAAGCTGCTTTTTTCCCCCCGTCAGAGCAGCAGTCCTTATAGGTAACTTTTAAATCAAGGATAGTGACCTAATTTTAGTTTTCTAAACATTATATGATGGTGCCTTTTATGTTTCTGACATTGTAAGGGAGAACATATGGTTTGTTTTGATGCATCTTCTAGAGAAGGGTGGGGGGTTTCTACTGTTCATCCACAATATTAGTATGTACTGTGGCAAGCTACAGTATACAGTTATGTTTTTGTGGAACATAACTGAAAAACTAAGAAACAAAGACTTACATTTTCATTGTCTTCAATGTTTAATCGACAATCTCTACTTTTTAAGGCATGTTTCTAGGTTTCGTTTACCTACAGGTGCTTCTTAATATTGTACTTAGATTAACTTAGATGTATCCAAGACTTCAGAACAATAAAATAGATGTCAGAGATGTGGTAGTATTTAATATTCTGGGTCATTTGAAACCAATTGTCTAGTTTGTATGGTGAAATATTTATTAACTCCATGGTCTCTCACTATAATAAATCATTTCATCAACATCATGTATGGTTGATTTCATACTTCCTCAGATACATCATTCAGTGCACTTGTCATAAACTTCAGTTAGCAAAGTTTCCTCTTTTCCGTGCACATAGAGCAGAATTTCACTCCTGTAGATGGCGTTAAGAATTAATTAAAAACTGAAGGGGGCTGATGTCAGAAAATGGTACTGAAGTCAATTGGCAGCATGCAAAATTGGGCCTATTGATAGAAGACAAGAAATCTATACAATAATTAATTTAAAAAAAAACCTTAAGTACCTTTTAGAAATACAAAACCTGGGCTGCATTGTACTACATATGAAACTGAGCGCAGCAATTAATCTCTAGAGCTGTTCCTGGAGCCAGGGAAGAAAAGGGGGCTAGATCCTTGCAAGTCAGTAGAGGAGTCCTACTACTTAAGCAAAAAGCCAGCCCTTATTTCCCTAAATACCTACATGTAAGCCAGCAAGCTATAAAGTCCTTGCCTATCATCCTCTATAGAAGCTCTTCAGGGAAATGGGGCAAGGACTTTTAGAGCAGTAATTATGTTTATCATCTGTTTGTAGTGGGGTTAGCATAATACCATCCTGATTCTAATGAATGATTTACTGAATAAGCAATTTAAACCACATCAGTTAAAGAAATGGGGCATCCTAGTAACACTTACAAATTAACTATATGTAGTTAAGTGTTGATGCTGTAAAAGACAGAAAAAGTTCTCTGCCTTGATCATGCAGTATAATGAGATAGACCTGGTGCATGAGAAGGAAATCCATCTTGGACCCTTTATTTGGATTCCTTTCTAAATCCCTGCTCCAAAGAACTTAGAATCAAGCTGTTAATAACATGGTATACTCCAGCCTGCTAAAATAAAACAAACAATTACCTATCTTCCTTTATTCTTCTTTGCTGAGTAAAGAGGAAGCTGCCCTTATTTCTGCAGTTTGAAGTCTATATTTGTAAGCTGATATTAAGTCAAAGAGAGTAGGAGGAAAAGGTCTGGCAAAAGAACTAGGTAAACAAATGTATTAATGGGACCATTGCCTGTGCCCCAAACTCATAATATTAAATAAACAAGTGTCCAATCACACACTCTTCTTTACATTATGTTTTCAGATTAAAAAATAAAGGTGAGGAGGGTTTATCCCTCCTCCTCCTGGGGAGGTGGGTTGATTCCCAGTGTGACCCCTTCTCGGCCCAGGCAGGCTCCTGACCCCTCCTCGGCCCTGGCAGGGGGCGCTCCCCTTGTGTGACCCCTCCTCGGCCCAGGCAGGCTCCTGACTCCTCTTCAGCCCAGGCAGGGGGCGCTCCCCTTGTGTGACCCCTTCTCGGCCCAGGCAGGCTCCTGACCCCTCCTCGGCCCAGGCAGGGGACGAGCGCAGTGCCGAGCCCCGTGGTCCCTGCGTGGGTGTGTCCCGCCGCCGCGGGGGAGGGGAAGCCCGCGGCTATAAGCGTTCCCCGGGCGGGCGGCGCGCAGGTTGCGGCTCTCACTCTTGCAGCCATGCCGCCGAAGAAGTACGTTGCCGCGGGCAAGAAGCGCAGCGCCGACTCCGGTGTGGAGACAGAGCGGGGCGCGCTGACCCAGGAGCAGAAGGACCAACGGATCAGCCTCTTCCTCAGGGGCTTCAACCAGCAGGGTGAGGAGCTGCCCCGCGCCGGCCCGGCCCCTCCCCGCCCTGCGGCTCAGGCCTGAGCAACGGGCAGCTTGGGGGGCTGTTCCCAGCGGGGCACTTGGGTTGGGGGCCGAGGCTGGTCAGCTGCCGTCTCCCGGGGGGTTGCTGGGCCTTCTCCGTTCCAGGCCCGCGCATCTCCCGCTGTCCTGGGGGCCGCAGCCGGGGGCGGTCGGCAGGTGAGCCTCAGTGCGGAGGGGATTCCCCGCCGAGGGGCTCCGGGGCGGCCGCTCTCCCGCCACGGACGGGCTGGCGCAGGGTCTAAAGCTGCTCACCAGTTATTCGGCTTCCTGGGTGTTTGGTCAAATCTGACACTTCCCCCCCCGCCCCGCTGCAGGGCCAAACCGGAGCGTGTGGCCTCCCCTCAGCAGAGTAACACTGCGGGGCGCCGGCCCTGGCCCGCTCTGCATAGTGAGCTGGGCGCTGTGAGGCACAATCACGGTTACTGAGGCTGGTCTCCTGATGCCAGTTGATTTGATTGGTAGTGTGACGGAGGAAGAGGGATATTTATCTCACACTTACCAAGTGCATCCTTGCTCTTGTGCTGGGATGCGCCCTGTGGTATGAGCACAGAGTGGCCCGCTTCCTATCCTCCGCTAAAAAGGGAGGCACATAGCTGAGAAAAACAGCACAACTTCCAGTTAGAAAATACTTCTTAAATGTTTGGTTTTGTTTTCTTTACAATCCCTTCTTAGATGTAGTTCACTAAGGCTGGTGCCTTAGAAGGGGAAATGGAGAAACACTTGAAAGAAAGACACAGTGACAAATGGAAACTCCTATTTAAAAAAAAATGAACAAACATGTGGGCACCAGTAGATAGAGTCTGGATTTGTGCAAACAGGTTGTAGATAATGGGGTTGGCATCTTCATAGAATTCATGGATGAGTTCATGTTCTTAGCAATGTGGAAACTTTCCATTTGCATTTTCAACTTAAGCATTGGGGCACAGAACTACCCTGTACAACTCCTGTTGGGATGACTATTGTCTGCAGAACTAATAAATACATGTATTTACATTTGATTTCTAACTACATAATCAATGTCTAGTTAAAAAAAAAAAAACCTGCATGTGACATCAGTCCTGATATGTAAGCCTCCTATTGATGTTATCAGAGGCAACAAGCTGACTTATTATAGTCTAAGGATTTCTAATGAAATTAGTTGAACTAGACTTCTTGGAACTATTCCATTAAAAATCAACAGAGGCCTTCTAATATTTACTGACCATCTGCACTGAAACCAATGGGAAATGGCTACTGAAGTCTACATTTGATCGGATCAGTCTGGCAATTCAAGCAGCTTGCAATACAACAATAAAGAAATGTAGCTTTGGCAAATGCACAACTTACTAAATGTTAACTTTTGTTATTGTAAACTGCCTGTCAAGGCACCTAATGACTAACCACCATTAGTCTTCAAAAGAGGCCAAACTACTAGTTTAAGTTGCTGAACAGCCATAGATTTGTTCAGCACCTTTGAAAAATCAACCCTTAGACTTTTTCTCCTAGGTATGAAACTACAAATTGGTTTGCTAACTCATATGCAGGCAATGATAGCTTTATCATCCCTCTTTAAATAAAGAAATACACTTTATTTACCTGAAATGTTGTTAAACTTAACTTTATGCAATCTCTTTTCTTCCCTCCACTTAATGGCTAATCTAGGACTTTTCTTTCTGGGAGTGTGTGTGTGTGTGTGTGTGTGTGTGTGTGTGTGTGTGTGTAAAGTATTGGACTGGGATTTAGAAGATCTGGTTTCAGTTTGTCTTTGTAACCTTGGGCAAGCTGGATAATCTCTCATCTATCTGTAAAAATGGGATGGTATTTCTGTATTTTCCAGGGGTGTCCTGAGGCTTAATTAATAATGATGAGATGCTTGACTATTAAGGTTATGAGGGCATGTAAGTACCTAAATAAGGATAATGGTAGTTTTAAAATGTTGAATTGTTTACCAGTTTGAGGACACCCAGATTCTAGGAACATGTGGCATTGCATAACTTAAAATCTACTTGGAATTAAGCTGAACTTCTAGTCAAACTGACTGACCCCTGTAAATACATGATCTTAATTCTTTGACTGGAACAAAGGTACTATCCAACAGGCAAACTATTAATGAACTTGGAAGTGTATTGTACACTTAACAACAGGTTTGTTTTTTTTATTTGAAGCCAAAGAGAATCTTCAAGAAATGAAGAAAGAAATTGATTCACTTTTGCAAACAGCTGAGAAAGCATTTAGAGTGGAGTTATTGAAGATGCCAGTTGCTGTCAGAAAAATGAAAAGAAAAGACTTGCTTAGTAAGTGTGGTTTTCTTGGAATGCATGCTTGTAGACAGCATGGATAACACTATCTACTTTCATGTCTTAAGTGTAGCTCTAAACCTCCCTGTAGGCCAGTGTTTCTCAAATGGGTCTGTGGACCCCTGGGGATCCCCGAGGGTACTCCAGAGCTTTCGTTGGGCCCTGCTGATCAACTCCTCCCCTTTCCTCCCAGCGCCTGAATGCCGGGGATCTGCTGTATGTCAGAGGCTGCTGAAGCCAAACCTGGAGATTTTAGGCACTAAAAGTCCAGAGGTGCAGTGGGGGTAAGGCAGGCTCCCTACCTCCCCTGGCGCTGCGCCACTCTCGGAAGCGGCCGGTACGGCCCCTGGGGGAGGGCCAAGGAGTCTCCGCACGCTGCCCCTGCCCCAGCGTTGACTCCACAGCTCCCATTGGCTGGGAACTGCGGCCAATGGGCGCTGCAGGGGCAGTGCCTGCGGGCAGGGGCAGTGTGTGGAGACCCCTTGACCCTCCTGCCAAGGAGCCGCTGTCAGAGAGACGTACCGGGCGCTTTCGGGAGCCACCGGGGTAAGGTAAGCCCGAGGCAAGTTCTGCCTTGCCAGAGCCCTCACCCCCTCCTACACTCCAACCCCCTGACCCAGCCCAGAGCCCACACCCAAACTCCCTCCCAGAACCTGGCCCTGTCAACACTGGTTCTCCACTTGCAAAGTAACTCCCTGCTTTCCATGTGTCAGTATGTAATGCCTGCATCTGTAACTTTCACTCTATGCATCTGAAGAAGTGAGGTATTTACCCACGAAAGCTTATGCCCAAATAAATCTTAATCTTTAAGGTGCCACCAGACTCCTTGTTGCTTTTGTTCTCTTCCAAGCTCTCTCCTTCATCTAGAACAGGAGTGGGCAAACTACAACCCGGGGGCCTCATCCAACCCTCCAGATGATTTAATCCGGCCATCGAGCTCCCGCCGGGCAGCGGGATCCAGGGCTTGCCCCACTCTGGCACTCCAGCCGGGGAGTGGGGACGGGGGCTTGCCCCACTCTGTGCGGCTCCTGGAAGCAGCAGCATGTCCCCCCTCTGGCCCCTACACATAGGGGCAGCCAGGGGTCTCTGCATGCTCCCCCTGCCCCAAGCACTGCCCCCACAGCTCCCATTGGCCAGGGACTGCGGCGAATGGGAGCTGCAGGGGCGGCACCTGCGGACAGGGCAGCGTGCAGAGTCACCTGGCCCGCGCCTCTGTGTAGGAGGCGGAGGGAGCACAGACCGCTGCTTCAGGGAGCTTGCTTGAGGTAAGCGCCGCCCGGAGCCTGCACCTCTGACCCTGTCCTATGCCCCAACCCCCTTCCCCAGCCCTGATCCCCCTCCCGTTCTCCGAACCCCTGTGTCCCAGGCCGGAGCAACCTCCTGCACCCCCAACCCTTCAGCCCCATCCCAGAGCCCGCACCCCCAGCTGGAGCCCTCCCCCCAGCCCAGAGCCCCCTCCCACACTGTGAACTCCTCATTTCTGGCCCCACCCCAGAGCCTGCACCCCCAACCAGAACCCTCACCCCCTCCTGCACCCCAACCCCCAATTTTCTGAGCATTCGTGGCTTGCCATACAATTTCCATACCCAGATGTGGCCCTTGGGCCAAAAAGTTTGCCCATCCCTGATCTAGAAGCACATGGACCATAGTTAAGCAAATAGTAGTTACTGTAAACAGGATTTGGTTTTTTTTGTTTGTTTTTTTTTGTTTTTTCTTGTGTAACAGATCTGCAAGGAGGAGAGGAAGCTGCTGTTGTAGCTGCCGCTGTTGTAGCGGTAAGTGTTTGTAAATTGTAGCAGAACTTTAAATATGGAAAATCTGACAACACAAAGGAACTTTAATAGGAACATTTTTTGCTATTAGCTTAATTTAAGAAAAAAAATGCCACACAAAAATACATGGCAGGAGACAATAACCTATAATAATGTGAAACTACTGCACATTGTCTCTGACCCTTTTAGGGTAACTTACAAATATTGTTGCCACAACTTCAAGTTTAGTTATTCACTCCCATTCTGTCTTGTGCATGTGACTGAAAATGGATTTGCTAAACATCATCTTTACCTCATGCTGGAAACTGTCTCTGAAAACACCTTGTATCACTTTACTTTACGAACTTAGTCACCCTCTCCCCTAGGCTAACATAAATATGTATCTTGGGGAAATTTACTGATTGTACAGATCTCACTTTGTTCTTTAAATATCTTCTAGAATGACTGCTCTGTAGAGCACATTCCAAATACCAGGCTGGTGAGGAATTGCAGCAAAAGAGGTGAATGATTTCATGACATGGACTTCCAGTATCTGATCTATTTTTTTATTATTATTAATGGTATGAATGTAGTGACTGCAAAAGAAGTATTGTTATTAAGACTCCCTTTGGTACTCTGAGTATATAATTTATTACAGTAAAGCCTACATAAGAACAGCCATACTAGGTCAGACCAAAGGTCCATCTAGCCCAGTATTCTTTCTTTCGACAGTGGCCAAAGCCAGGTGCTTCAGAGGGAATGAACAGAACAGGTAGTCATGAAGTGATCCATCCCCTGTTGCCCATTCCCAGCTTCTGGCATACAGAGGCTAGGGACACCATCCCTGCCCATCCTGGCTAATAGTCATTGATGGACCCATCCTCCATGAATTTATCTAGTTCTGTTTTGAACCCTGTTAGCCTTGACCGTAACAACATCCTCTGGCAAAGAGTTCCACAGGTTGTGCGTTGTGTGAAGAAATACTTCCTTTTGTTTGTTTGTTTTTAAACCTGCTGCCTATCAATTTCATTTGGTTAACCCTAGTTCTTGTGCTGAGAAGGAGCAAATAACCTTTCCTTATTTACTTTTTCCACACCAGTCATGATTTTATAGACCTCTATCATATCCTCCCCTTAGTCGTCTCTTTTCCAGGCCGAAAAGTTCCAGCCTTATTAGACGTCCCAACAGATATTTGGGAGTGCAGGAAGGGGGAGGCAGAGTGGTGCAGCATTGTGTTGGGCGCTGTAAATATATCTACTAAGAGACTACAATCTGAAATAAAGGGTGGAAGGGAACACAGAGGTGGAGTGAGTTTCCCAAGGTCACAAAAGTCAGTGGCAGAGCTGGGAGTAGAATGCAAGTCTCCTGGGGAGTCCCATTCCAGTCACCTATCTAATGGACCCATAGACACCGACTCCGTGGGTACTCCAGGGCTGGAGCACCCACGGGGAAAAATTGGTGGGTGCTTTGCACCCACTGGCAGCCAAGCTCCCCGCCCCCACTCACCTTGCCTCCACCTCCTCCCCTGAGCGCACTGCATCCCCGCTTCTCCCAGCGCTTGCTGCCGCGAAACAGCTGTTTCACGGTGTAACAAGCTCTGGGAGGAAGGGGAAGGAGCGGGAGCACAACGTGCTCAGGGGAGGAGGCGGGGAAGAGGTGGGGCCGGGGATTTAGGGAGCAGGCGGGGACTTTGGGGAAGGGGTTGGAATGGGGGCAGGACAGGGGTGGGAGGGGGTGGGGCAGGGGTGGAGTCGGGGTAGGGCCGGATTGGGGCGCCAGCAGAAGCCGGCGCCTATGGATGGAACACTCTGTCTGTAAAAGAATAAGTGATCACTCTGTATCTGACCTATCAGTCCTCATCCTCAAAGGAAACCTGCACACTTAAAAGATGAGTTTGGGAGTTTACATTCATAATCTTATTAAGACCATGATTTTTAGTGTCCAGCAAAGACATTGGATTTATGGCTTATTACAACAATCTATACCTCACTAACCCCCTTTTGTCCTCTGACTATAAGGGTGTTAATGGGCCACTTCACCTTGAATGGTCCCTTAGAATATGTACTAACTACTTATGCTAAACTGTCTGTCTGACCTTGTATTTAGCTGTGACGCTCTTAGTACCTTTCTCAGACCTGAGCTCCGTGAAACCTTGTCTCTCTCACCAACCGAAGTTGGTCCACCTCATCTCTTTAATCTCAGAACAGGTGCAGTAGAAACGGTGCACCTCTGTCACAGTGGTCTGAACCTACTCTGGAGGGGGTCACTTCTAAGGGTGAGAGGGGTGGCTTGGTATCCTTGGCATCCCAGATATGTCAGTGAGGGTGGCGATCCATATATAGTAGTTATGATGTTGGGCACACTTGCAATCCACTTAAGCATTGAACTGAGTGCCAAATGGCCATCAAATGGTGGAATCAATTGCTATTTGTCTACTAACAGTCAATGTAGAGCTAAATGGACTGGTTATTGTGCCCATCACTGGAGCTATTAATATTCCATGTATTTCTAATCCACTTTGAATTGTCGTTTTTTTTTTTTATAGTTAAGGTAACTACAATTGTTGAATATAAAGATGAGGAGAGTGTGCCTGCCAAGAAAGCATCCCAAAAGGTATGTGTTCAAGGAAAATAACCAGGGCTAGATCCCTCCTGAAACCTGAGGCTACCTCAATTGGTCCCTGGTCAGTTGCCTGCTTGTCATCTTAAAATAAACTATTTTAAAAAAAAGAAAAAAAGTATGAACTATTGTTCTCAATTCAGAATTAGCTGCGGTCCAATATGCTTATTTTAATTAATTAAATTTAATATAAAATCCTATTGTGAACTAGTTTTGTAGTCAACAGATAATGAATTAATAAAAGTATGTACAACAATCATTTGCTGTAAATTCAGCACTATTTTTTAAGTCTCCTCCTGCAATTGAGTAACTCTGGTAAGGGTCCATCCTGCTGAATCATTAGAGGATATGGTGGGACTTTAAAGTCCCTAACTTGATTTTTCTGTTTGTTTGATGCCCACCTTGTGTTCAGTAGATAGCTCCCCGTATTTGAATGGGTTGTTTTTAGAAACCAACAGTGATAAAAAGCATTGCATGTGCATCAACTTATCCAATCTTAACTCTGTCTCACAACTCAGTGACTTGGTTTTGCTCAATGACTTGCAAGTGTCAACTGGGCATTATGACATGGGTCTTCTCCCCCACATCCAGCAAAAAGACTTGATCTAGTGGTACAAGCATGTGTGTAGATGTGCCAAAATGGCTCTTTCAAAAACAATGTTACGTGGTGTACTGACCTGTCAGGACAAGCAAGACAGTAAACAGTTCTATACAGTGAAGCCATAGCATAGGGATTTCATATTCCTCAGTTTACTCATCTGTAAAGTGAGTATAATTCCCTATTCAACATGGGTTTTAGGAGGTTTAAGTCTTCATCTGAAAGTCTCAGTCCTATTACATTTAATGTCATTTATTCTAACAATGCTTAATTTTATTTATTTGTTTTAAGGTGTCCAAAACAAAATCACTGGCTTCTTTAGCTTCTGGCATACATCTCAAAGAAAACCACTCTCTTTCTAGGTATGACTATGATCTATAGTAGTTCTTGTAATTTTTTTTGGACTGAGTAGCTTTTCAAAGAAATCACTGTGATTTTTAACTCTGCTAAGAAGAAAGCATTTAATGAACATTACACAAGCTGGATCAGATTTTATGTGATTTACTCTACTGAAGTAAATTTTAATCAGATAACTACCGCCTCTTCTTCCCTTCTCCCCCCTGACCCCCATGGGGTGGCTGCTAAAGAGATATAGTGCAATCCATTTGAATGTATACACTTGTGCATCTAATTGTGTGTGTAATATAAAAATATCTAGTTAATCTTTAATTGCAGACAACGTTTAATGGAGGAAAGTAGCCTTTAGGTAACCTGACATGCTTCAGTTAACAAGAATAACAAACTATACAGTAATACTTTTGCTAATTTTAACATCTGAAAGGGATTTGCATCAATATCCGTAGTGAAATATCTATTTGAGCTACTTATAGCAAAGATGAGCCGAAGTCTACTCTTCTTTGATTTGCGAGTCAGAGGAACTGATGTCTCCAGTCAAATAGGTATAAAAATCTGTGCAATTATGTATTGCAACTGTTCACTTTTTAAGAATCTGAACATGTCTACTAGTTCAACATACACCTTCTATCCTCTTCTAAAGTGTACTCTAGATGTTGAATCAACTCATACTGTACACGAGAAGAAAACTAGAAAACCTTAACTAGGTTTAGTTATTCAGACTCCTAATTTAGGATTACAGATAATCTTCAAATCCACAAAATTGACCTGTAAAACTAGTCAGCTCCTTGGGTAGGCAAAACCTGTTGTATCAGTCTCTGGTGCATGGCTTTTCCCTAATGTTCAGTAGCATTTTGCTCTCTCTCTCAATTGTGTGTGTGGGGAGGGCTTCAATCCCTAGCTCTAAAACCATCTTTATGGGCCCATTAGGATCCAAAACTGGAAGTGGCTGTTCTCTGGCTCGGATGTGGCCTCTCAATAATTCTTGTGAGAACTGATCGTAGGAAAACTCCCTCCACTTCTGATTAAAACTGCCAGGAGACTGAATAGGAACCTTCGCTTAACTGTGTCCAGATCACTGTGCTCTCTCAGCCAGTTGCTAATACAAATAATCCTATATTGCTTCTAGCCCCCTCTACTTGCATAGGCTAGATTCTGGTGGATGATATCTTGCTGTGTAAAGGACTTTATCTTTGCTGTGCCTCCCCACCCTGCCTTTTTTTTAAAGCAACACTAACTAGATAACTACAAAGTACTGTAACGTTGTCTAACTTACCAGTCTTCTGCTTAGGGAATTTAAAATATCTGCTTCATAATTGGAATTCTCTAGACTAAAAGTACTGTACTGTGTAAAAGCAAATGCTGTTTTTCTGGCAGATCTGCATACTCTACTCCAAATGTGAGGCATTTTAAGGCTCCTACATCTGATCGCACAGCTGCAAACTATAAATCTGCTCCACGTGTTTCTAGAAGGTAGGCCTTTCGGGTCATAGCACAACTGATCTCTTTTCTTTTTAAACTCTTACTACCATACATATCTGGATACCAAATAAGGAATGCTCCTTTGAACAAGACAATGTGAAGATCTTTGTAAATACAGTGTCTGCCACTGTAGGATTTTAAGAAAGGAAGGTGGCTTCTATCTGTAAAAGGGTTCCTGTTCATGGAGGAGGGTGGGGGAAGAGACTGAAGTGGATACAGTTTATACTTGTGCTGAAATTCTGGAGGTACTGGCTATGTTTTCATCGTTAAGGTTACCTTCTGAAGCTGGCTTAATGGGGCGCAAACTACTAGTTTTCTCTACGTGTTGACTATAGTTTACAGAAACACAGCAGTTTAGAAACAAGTTTTCAGCACTCTTAATTTAGCTGAAATAATTCACTCTTGGTTGAAAGTACTTGCAACATTTAGTATAAATTCATACAAATACTTCTAATCGGTTAAACTATACATTGTAGCTGGAAAGGTTTTTAAAACTGGTAATTCTGAACTTGCTTCTGGCAAACACAACCTGCTGAATGAAGTGAAATCCTTTACAGTAAGATAGCCAAAATCAGCCCTGAAGCCACAAAGTGGTTCACAGCATTACCCTGGCCTGTTGTTATTATGCCATTGTGTCAAGCGTCTGTCTCTTTCAGGTTAAAGAAGCCTAAAACATTATACTTGCTCTCAAATATTGGAGCCTGCCTTTGACTACAGTACAAAATAATTTTAAATACAAGGGAAATATAGGAATTCCATGTCAGACCTGTCATCCACCTACTCCAGTCTCCTGCCTCTGAAAGTAGCCAACATCAGATGCTTCAGAGGAAGGTGCAAAAGAACCTGCAGTAGTCCAGTCCTGGATAATCTGTTGCTAATGAGTCTTTTCCTACTCCCTAATAATTAGATTGGCTTACTCACCCTAAAGCATCAGTTTGTGTTAGTGTTCACTGTGATAACTGGAGACTGTTCTTCTCCATGTAAATGTCCAATCCCAACTGAAGATTGATCATTGGCTTAGGATTTCTCAGTTGTATTGCACCCTGCCAGAATGGCAAAACATTACCTGGTGGTGCCAATAAACACTACTACCTTCAAGATGTTAAGATGTTTGGGTTTTCTTTAGTGTTGGTTCTAAATGGTTTGTAGAACAAAGTAGAAAATGAGCATCCATTAAGTGCACCAATTACGAAGCTGGCTGTTACTGAATCACATTGGCTCTAATGGCTCTCTGTAGGACATGAAAATGCAATTTATTAGAGGTGAAATTCTGTTTTTGTATTCCACTTCTAGACTACCACAAATGGCTGTCTCAAGAACTGTACCTATGAGAGAAAAAGTTCAAGCCATGTCACTAAGAAGTAACTCAGTGCCTCGGGAAAAAGCTGTTCCATTTGTTAATATACCTCTGGCTGATGGAAAGGTAGTAAACCTTAACTTTTCAGTTTCACTTGCTTTAGATGAATCTGTCTTTGGCAAATATATAAACAAAGGGGTATCTGGAAAACGTTTTTTTCCTGTCTTTGCCAGCAGTAGTAGTTGCTACAGTTAAGTGAGCAGCTTGTAAACAAAATGTCTCTTCAAAATGGTCACTTTCTGAAGTGAACATTTCTATTAACTTCCCATATTATAACATAAAAATGGCCATACTGGGTCTGACCAAAGGTCCATCTAGTCCAGTATCCTGTCTTCTGACAGTGGCCAGTGCCAGGTGCCCCAGAGGGAATGAACAGAATAGGTAATCATCAAGTGATTCATCCCCTGTTGCCTGTTTCCAGCTTCTGGCAAACAGAGGTTAGAGACACCATCCTGCCCATCCTGGCTAATAGTCATTGATGGACCTATCCTCCATGAATTTATCCAGTTCTTTTTTCAACCCTGTTATAGTCTTGGCCTTCACAACATCCTCTGGCAAAGAGTTCCATAGGTTGACTGTGCATTGTGTGAAGAAATACTTCCTTTTGTTTGTTTTAAACCTGCTGCTATTAGTTTAATTTGGTGACCCCTAGTTCTTGTGTTAGGAGAAGGAGTAAATAGCACTTCCTTATTTACTTTCTCCACACCAGTCATGATTTTATAGACCTCTATCATACCCCCCACTTAGACATCTTTTTTTATCCAAGCTTAAAAGTCTCAGTCTTGTTAATCGCTCCTCATATGACAGCAGTTCTACCCCTAATCTTTTTTGTTGCCCTTTTCTGAACATTTTCCAATTCCAATATATCTTTTTTGAGATGGGATGACCACATCTGCATGCAGTATTCAAGATGTGGGCATTCCATGGATTTATAGAGAGGCAATATGATATTTTCTGTCTTATTAGCTACACCTTTCTTAATGATTCCCAACATTGTGTTTGCTTTTTTGACTCCTGCTGCACATTGAGTGTATGTTTTCAGAGAGCTATCCATAATGACTCTAAGATCTTTCTTGAGTGGTAATAGCTAAATATTACATTAGTGTCAGTCTAGTAAATGACTTAGAATCTTGTCCGAACACTTGGACATATGATGAAGGTTTCTAGGTATCATACCAATGACTATGCTGACCAGGACTAGTGAGGTGAAATAAGCATTTGACGTACAGTAACTCCTCACTTAACGTTGTAGTTATGTTCCTGAAAAATGTGACTTTAAGCGAAACGATGTTAAGTGACTCCAATTTCCCCATAAGAATTAATGTAAATGAGGGGGTTAGGTTCCAGGGAATTTTTTTTCACCAGACAAAAGACTATATTATACACACACAATATAAGTTTTAAACAATTTAATACTGGTACACAGTGATGATGATTGTGAAGGTTGGTTGAGGTGGAGGAGTCAGAGGGTGGGATATTTTCCAGGGAATGCCTTCCTGCTAAATGATGAACTAGCAATTTGCTGAGCCTTCAAGAGTTAACTCTCACGGTCTACAAGGCAGCAGGAATGGAGGGAGGGGAGAGAGTATTGCAGACAGAGACTGTGTGTGTGTGTGTGTGTGAAAGATGCGCATTTCCCCTTCAAGTACACTGCCTTGTTAATTAGATCAGCTTGCTGAGACCACAGCTGCCAGCAAGCTCCCTCTGTCCTGAGTCCCGTGGTGTGACCCCCCTGCTCTATGGAAGATGGGGTAAGCGGGGTGCAGGAGCAGGGGGACACCCTGACATTAGCCCCCCTCTTCTTCCCCTCCCCCCGCACAGCAAGCAGTAGTCTCAGGGAGCAGCTCCAAGGCAGAGGGCAGGAGCAGCACATGGCAGTGGGGGGAGGGACAGCTGCAATTGCTAGCCTGCTGGGCAGCTGCTGCACAGGGAACTTAGGGGAGGGGGGAGCTGACAGGGCAGCTGCTGGTCCACCCTGGTTCCAAGCCCCCACCGGCTAGCTGCAACGGGCTGCTCTTCCTGCAAGCAGTGGACAAAGCAGGCAGTTGCCAAACAACGTTAGAAGGGAGCATTGCACAACTTTAAACGAGCATGTTCCCTAATTGATCAGCAATGAAACAACGTTAACCGGGATGACTTTAAGTGAGGAGTTACTGTATTTCCCCTACTCCTTCACTAGGCTGTACAGTCTAAAATAACTGAACACTTGGGCTAAAGAAACTTCTGTGAATAACTTGTTTCAGTCTGCACTACTGCTGACTTTGAAAGATGGGATTCTGGCTGTGAAAGTTGATGGATGTTGGTTAGCTAACAAGACTGACACCTCACTGTGCCCTGGGTGTGCTGAGAACTCTTGTTTCTTGAATTATTTCCACTTAGATTTGGCTCCTTGACCAGCAGTAACCCTAGTTTAATGGGCCATTATCTTGTGTTCAGAATGTCAGTCATAACTAAAGCCAGTGATAAGTTGGAAGGAGACATATGCAGACTAACACTTTTTGGGCAGAATGTTTTTTTTAGCCAATAAAGCTGTTAAACATATGCCTCAGCTCAACTTCAGTGCATGGTTGTAAGAAAAACGGATATGGTGATTCACGTGAAACATGCTGAATAGTTTTCTCAATTAAATACTTTGTGATTATGCTCAGACTCTCTCTTCTGCTGGTGAAGACCTCCATAACATCAATGTCGAGTTGCTTAATGATGACACAGTTCAGCATATTCATAATCTAGTGGTAAGTTTACAGAACCAGTAATTTGTAAATAGTCTAAGATTGCACAGAAGTCCTGGCACTTAGTTTGCTCCTTGCATAGATGATTTGAAGACTATTTCTAGTAAGGGAGAAATGTTGCTTCAACTTTAACTTGAAGCAACATTTTTCCTTTACTAGGAAGAGACAGCCTTTGTTTAAGTCTATTTTATTGAGTCCTGTCAATGACATTGCTTCTAAAGAAAGGGCAGAAGTCTTTCTTCTCCTCCTCATGTCTGTCTGCCTGCCTGCCGTGTGAGGAAACTCAGCTTTTCTCACTAATATCAGTGTCTCAATCTGCAAATCAAAATAGACAGCTAAGTTTCACATCATGTATACTGATGGAGGGGATTGTACCTCACTCTCTGAATAAGAACTATAGGGGTCCCATCAAATCTGTACTAAGCTTGGACAATAACTCCTTCCCCTACATTATAAAGGTGTGCTTATATACCCCTCTCCAGGAGATAAATTTTACTCTGCTGCTAAACATCACTACTAATTTTATGCCAGCTAGTGGCCCTCCTCCAAGAGGTTATTGTAACAGGGAGTCTAAGACCTGGCTAATATGTAATATTAGAAATACAGTTGAAATATCCATAGTTATAAGTAGGTAATGAGTATTATATGGAAAAGTGACCCACCCTTGTAGGTGGTGGGACCTTACTTTAAGTTATATGAATTATAGCAGACTGAAGATTTGACAGCTACAATATGGCATGCCTCTGCCTCTATTGCAAGCATGGGGTGGGGAGGCATCTCTAAAAAGCTAAATACCGGGCAGCAGCTAAATTGTTCTGCCCTCTCTGCTAATCTGTACGTTATCCTAGTACTCTACTGCTGAAAATTTGCTTCTCAATTTAGCTGTCTTGCAGAGTTTAAACAACTCTAGTTTTAATGTCTGCCAATAAAATTGGTCTAAAATGGCTTTCTTTCCCCCCAGAGCCAGTTGACTGTTTTATGTGGAAAAGCAACAGTTAAACCAAGTTAATGGAGTCTACGTGCATATCTTGTGTTCTCTTTGTTGTGTATTATATAAATATTCTGTGCAATTACCACTTGTCTGTTTTAAATGTTGACATAGAACTTAATATCTTTTTTAATAAAGTTTTATACTGCATATTTAACTTTCTATGTATAGAAAGACTTAATGATCACATTGCTGTAAAATTTGTATGTTTTTACAAGCTCAAAGCCATGTTACCAGTTGCTTCCTTAACTGAAAGATAAGACTGCTTCCTATTCATGTTAGTTTAATGAAGGGACAACTTGGTATCCTTTCCAGATTGCTCATCTCTATTTTTGACCTCCTGTGCTCAGTAAAATATACATAGGAATATACAGTAACATACATCTGTTCTATCAGAAGCTATTTCCCATCCTTCTGAAGTTGTGCAGCATTAGTGCTAAGCACCAATTCAAGATGATGCAAGGTGATATAAACTCATTCGTTTAGATCTACTTAGACCAATCTATGTGTGAGTCTCATTTGTAATTTGTATACTGGGATGGGCGGTGAGGGTGTAATGTAAATTAAAGAAGGGTAGAAGTCACTCTAAACTCTCCTGTTAGGCTGTCGTGATATTTCTGTAGTCTAGCCCATAGTCACGTGACTAAGACCAGGCTACACTCCGAGTAAAACCCTAAGTTAAATGAAAGGCATTCGGGCTCAACTGTATCAGATCAGTTTCTCACTAGGCTTCCCTAAATTCATCTTTGCAGCTGTCCTAAAGTTTTCAGTTTCAAAACTCATTGATGCAGCATTCTGAAGCTTCAGTTGTGTGTACTATGTTGACACAAGTTGCCAGTACTTTATCTTGTAACCGTTATGGGGTGAATAAGCCTAGAATTAATCAATAGGATGTTCTCAACCACTTCAGGTTTCCCTCTTGATCCAAAGAAGAGTTGTTCCTAGCAATCTTGATTATAAGAAGCCTCCATATTCAAGGAAGCTCTTCAGGTTCATAGGGTTGTTTATCGATTTCTTTCTGACATCAAGCTATTGGATAACTAGGAGGGCAATAGTGTAAAACTAGCACTGGATTGTTTAGCAGTTCAAGAGTAAAAAATAGCAACCTTCTGGATAGTTACTTTGACAATCTATATCTGTTAAAACCTTCCACTTCATTTGACTTTCAACCAAATTTTTTTGTGTAGTAGGCCGTCACTCCCATTCACGTTTGGCGCATAACTTACAGAAGCATGTTCTACTAGCTAAACTTTAGTGTTGCTTCTTACAACAACCTAAGCTGCTGAGATGAGCTTGGCCTCAACACAAGGGTCTGTGCTGGAATAAGAGAGGGACTGCAGCCTGATTGGTCTCATGAGAACTCCAGTGGCTCACTTACACTTCCCTTTGCTTTTAGCAAGGGTCGTGTGTTGGCTTTTTACTCAGGTTTCCCTTAAATGTACAGTTATTCTGCATGTTTCCTAGGGTAATTCCTTCACTGGAAATAGGCATAGGTTTAAGTATGGTGAGAGGCAAAGCTGTGCTGCTGGAGTAGCACTTTAAAACTAGGGGACTTTCCTTGTACTTTGCCTCTGTACAGACCTAGTGCTGCTCATGGCAATCTCTGTCCTCTAGTGGTAGAGGATTAGGAGTGGAAAGGCTGAGCTAACTTTATCTCTGTTAAGAGCATAGGAAATTTTGTCACCTTACCTCTTAGTGCAGCTTTTGACACTTCTGCGTCACTAGTGACCCTTTCCCACTAGAATCTTTACTTAAGAGGCATCTGCTTTGTCTGTCATAAAACTATGTACAGAACAGCTTCCCCTTCTGGTTACATGTTCTAGTTAATGAAACTAGGTAATTTTACACTGTAGAAAATAGCGATGAAAATAAGGCAATTATAATCAAAGGGAAACAGTCCTTGCACACTCTCAAACACTAACAAAAGAGAATGGTGGGAAGTTAATGAGAATGTAAAAAATTGTGTTCTCTCTGTTAGGTTGGGTGTGATTACCATGGCATTAGGGGGAAGAGTTGGTTAATTTATTATCAGAGTTTATGTTCTCCTCGTGAGTCTCAGGAAAGTTTGCAAGAGCTTCAACCTTGGCCATATAGTTCCTAGAGTGAGTGGTGACAGACTCTGTGTTACTATTTCATTCCTTTTAAGGGTAGTTTTCTCACACCTTTTTGTCTTTCTGCTCTGAGGGCTTGTCTACACATGGAGATTTTCCTGATTAACCCTGTAGGTGGACACTCTCTTATTCTGGGAATAAATGAGGAACAAGTCCAGGTGCAGACACGACCTAAGGTAAAAGTGGGGGAAGTCAGAATTTTGGTAATTGTGATCTGTCAAAACAATCCTACAGCTATTGACTGCCACATTCAATACTAGTACAAACCAACTGTCCATATCCTGATTTCCAAGACCCTCCACAAGATGATCCAAGCCATGTCAATAATGCCATCTCCACCACCTCAACAAGAAGCATATAACTATCCAGAGATGATGTATGAAACTGGGTTGCAGCTTTCTTTGTAGCTGTTCTACAGCTGTGGAAGTTCTGAGAAGATATTACCACACATCTTGCCATTAATTTCAGAAATGCAAGACCTCCTTTTTCTTAAGTTACCTATTCCAGAAATTGCAGCTATACTATGTGGTCATGGTAGGGTAATGCAGTAGGGGGAAGAGGAAGATGAATTAAAAAAAAATCCTTATGCTCACAGAGGGATGGGAAAGGAGTTACAGTGAGTAGCTGGAACAGCTCAATTTTGATCAGTCTTGATAACCTCCTAGGTGCTCAAATACCTGCAGTAATATACAGTGTACATGAGTAAAGTAAAATAACTATACAACATTTACCAGAATATTCTTGAAAATGTTTCCTTAGGGTTGAAAGAAGCTTTTAATCCCTCTGTATGTGGTAGCAACACACTACACCCTGGTCTACACTAGGAACTTGCATCAATATAGTTTTCTCTCAGGAGTGTGAAAAATCCACAGGACTGAGCCACAACTATATTGCTGTAAATTCCTAATGCAGACACTAGGTCAACAGAAGAATTCTTCTGTTGGCATAGGTGCTGCCTAGTGGGGAAGTGGATTACCTGTGCTTATGGGAGAAGCCCTTGTGTTGGCATAATAGTTAATGTCTACACTGAAGGGTTATCAAAGTGCAGCTGCAGCATTTTTAAGTGTAGATATACACTTGTGGTCTAGGCATAGTGAGGGTGTTTGTGACAGATGGGCAAGATAAAGATGAATAACTTGGCATGAATAGCAAGTAGGTACACCCAGTCTATGCTGTTTAATCATAGTGGACCCAAATAAGTAATTCAGAAGAACCAAATTGTTGTGAAGTGACATTATCATGCTTGTTAGGATAATTTATCCTACAACACTTAGTGCTTATCTTCAACCTGTTTCTTTTGCAAGTCATTACCCAAAACAATATAACCAAAATGCTGCACAGTTGTTGCTAGGGAAGTATATGTTTACATGTTTAAACTTGATGTACTCAAACAAGCCTAAGCAAGTAGTGTGAGCTTAAGCATTGATGTTAGAGAAGCTGTAGAGGGAGGGAGTCATGTGCAGGTCAGTTCATTCTGGAAAAAAAAAAAAAAAAAAAGACTGCTCATTTAAACACAAGTATCATGAGTATTACTATTATTTCTGCTGCCTACCTTAGCAACCAGAGCTGATCAATACCATTTTCAGTGCATGGGTAGGAATCTAGGCTCTTAAATAGTAATCATGTTCTATTTCCCTATGCTGAGTACTTGTAAAGATGCTGCATTATCTTGGTTCCAGTGAGTAAACATAACATCACTAACATGAAACAAGCAGCAAAAGCATCTACATCAGGGGTCCTCAAACTTCATTGCACCACAACCCCCCTTTGTGGAGCCTGAACCCTGGGTGGAAGGGAAGAGGGGGTACAGCCAGAATCCTGCTGGCCTAGGTGGAGGGAAAAGGGGGTACAGGCCAAGCCCTGCCACCCTGGGGGAGAGAGGAGTTGCAGCCTAAGCCCCATTGCCCCAGGTCAGGGTGGAGCTTGGGCTTCAGCTTCAGCTCTAGGTCCCAGCAACTCTAGTGCTGGCCCTGGTGACCCTATTAAAATGGGGTCATGACGCACAGTTTGAGAACCACTGATCTACATTTTTAGAGTTAGGGAGATGAGTATTACAACTCAATGTAAATATCTTGATGGAAATACAAGAATTCAGTGGGGACTGGCAAAGCTAAAGTTTGTCCTGTCCTAGTTCTCTAATCACTCCTTCAGTATGTACTTTGGAAGATCCTCTTCATCCTTCCCTCAATGCTTTTGGGAGAGGCATTTCTACAGGGTGCTGTTATTTATCCCTTCTCTTCTCCCTTTGCCTCAACCTCCCACCCCACTATAAACATCCCCCCCTTACTCTCACAGATATTATGGAGCACACAGCAAGCAGTAATAACAATGGGAATATTGGTTGCGCTAAGATCTAACCTAGTCAGCAAACAGCGCCAGCAAGCTTTTAAATGACCAAAGGCACATTCTACCACCATTCTGCACTTGCTCAGCCTATAGTTGAACTGCTCCTTACTACTGGCCAGGCTGCCTGTGTATGGCTTCATGAGACATAGGAGCAAGGGGTAGGCTGGGTCTCCAAGGATAACTATTGGCATTTCAACATCGCCAACAGTAATTTTCTGGTCTGGGAGGTAAGTCCCTTCTTGCAGCTGCTCAAATAGTCTGGAGTTCCTAAAGATGCGAGCGTCATGCACCTTTTCCGGCCATCCCACGTTGATATCGGTGAAACGTCCCTTGTGATCCACCAGTGCTTGCAGCACCGTTGAGAAGTACCCCTTGCGGTTTATGTACTGGTTGGCAAGGTGGTCCGGTGCCAAGATAGGGATATGCGTTCTATCGCCCCACCACAGTTAGGGAAACCCGCACATTTCCCAGAGTCGCTACCCTTGATAGCGGAACATCAGTGATTGCATTGGCTACTTGAATCACAGCAGTCCCCACAGTAGATTTGCCCACTCCAAATTGATTCTTGACTGACCGGGAGCAGTCAGGCATTGCAAGCTTCCACAGGGCTATTGGCACTCGCTTCTCAACTGTCAGGGCAGCTCTCATCTTGG